CTAACGGGCCCCTCTGTCCCTCTGTCGAGCCGGCCCTCACGGCCCCTCTGTCCCTGTGTCCCTCTCCCAGGTGTATGACTTGTTCTCCGGAGCCGCGGTCAGGCAGCTCTCCGACTCCCAGGTCTTCACCGTGTCCATCAACCCCACGGGCGTGGTCATGTGGTACGTCTACCCCATGCAGCGCGGGGGCCGGGCGGCGCAGGAGGGCGTGGGGGCAGGGCTCGGCCCCGGTTTCCACCCAGGATACAGCGGGGGTGCCAGGCGCCCCCGTCCCCCCAGTCTGCTGTAAAGGCCGGGCCCCGTCTGTCCGCGGCTCCTGGGGTCCAGAGCCCCGCTCCCCCAGACGGGACGGGACCTGTGGCTCTGTGTGCTGCTCTGCTGTTCCCCACAGACTCAGCCAGGGCTCCTGATACACCCCCGAATTACTGACGCAGCGCCATCGTCCCCCCGAATTACTGATGCCAACCCCCGAATTACTGACGCAGCGCCAGTGTCCCCCCCGAATTACTGACGCAGCGCCATCGTCCCCCCGAATTGCTGACGTACTGAATGTGCCCCCCCACATTTGGACAGTGCCCCCCAGCCCCGGACAGACGCTGGACCGTCAGGAAGGCTCGTTTACAATCGGTACTACTGCTGGCAAGAAGCGTGATGGTGATCTCGCCGTCTTTCCCCAATCAGCAGGAGGGGGGAGGTGTGCGCGCGCGGGGCAGCGGGCAGGGGGCGTGTCCCAGTGAGCCGCCACGCCCCCTCCCCGCCCACCCCGGCAGAGCCACACCCTTCCTGCTCCTGATCTCTGTGAAAAACTGGCAATGGTGATTTTCTTTTCTAAATCTATTAAAAGATTTTTCACTCATGGGCTCGGAGAGCAGGCTGTGGCTCTGTGAGGTGTGAGTGTTGCTGGGGGGAGGCTGTGATGTGAGGTCACTCCTGCCCCCCACTCTCTCTGGCTCCCCAGTGGGGGTGAAGTGGGCCCCACTTGTAGTTGAAGCTGTTTGGCAAGAGAAGAGCACCACCCACCCTCCTCTCTGCGTCAAACTGGGACACCTAGTGGCCACGCAGGGTGTCTGCACTACTCAGGTAAAACTTCATCACCTTGGTACAGAGCAGATGCCAAGACACTGTAAAAACCCAGCTCCACCACAACAGTAACGATTTGGGAACAGAATTTAATTTCCTCCTGCACGGCACAGTCAAAGCCATCACCCTCAGTCCTATATACAAACAGCAGAATAACAGGCTCCTGTCCAGGACTTCAACCATACTCTTCCTCAGTCCTGAACACAGCTACATGAGACTGAACCGACAGAAACTACCCCCCATGTTCCTCTATACACAGAAGTGGTATATACCCAGAACACATTAATCAATAGATACTGTACAGCAATATCACTGTACACGTGAGACTGAAGTTAACAGAACAACAAAAATAAAATTAATGATCTTAATGACAGTAGAGCACAGAGCAG